TATCAAATTTTTAGAATGTTAATGTCGAAACAATCGAAAATTTTAGTGACTGGCAAAGTAAAACTAGTCTCAATGAACTGATGTTTTTTCAACCCATTGGGGACCACGTGCTACGAGACGCAACACGCCGAACGACGTCGCACCTCATTCGGCTACTGTGATGCATCGCGTCTAGTAGCAAGGCAGCACGTGTAGATCGATCGCACTTGCAGTTGCTGCATGTCTGTGGCTGCCGCGCGAGTGGCCGACGTGACCCCGCCTGCTACCAACGGCGGTCTCCAGAGGGTCAACCGATAATGCATGGACTCTCGTATAAACCTTTTGAGTCCTCAGGTTTTCATGTACTTTAATCATGGGAAAGTCTGTGTTAATAGAGATGTGATAGTATAAACGAGTGTCTGTGTTTATGTCGGCAAAAAAATCTGTAAAAGTTGTGGAAAGTAGGTGTTTTTTATGATGCCTATGTGCTATACTCTAATATTTTTATTTGCATTGAGTCAGAGGCATCAAGTGTAGTCATAAAAGCTTGTTTCAAAGGTGTCCACCAGGGGCGCTGCGTCGTCGCACATTCTCACATGCCCCTGATGTTTGAGCTTTTGGCGTCACGATATGGGAGATCTTTACCTACGGAGAAGATCCATGGATTGGATGCCGAGCAACAGATGTCAGTTTTTCATTTCAGCGTGACAGAATTTGTCTGTAACAATTCCAGAGGTAAACTTCGGGCCAAACTTGACCTCGCCCAGCATGTTTTCAATTTCCACATTCATAATCTTAGCGATTGGGGAATGGCGCATTTTCCATGGAATAAACACGTACTTCCTTCAATCTCTCACCGAAGAGAGCCTTTCCATTTGTCTTCAATAGTCATTTGATTTTGGCCCTTGAGCAATAAATAGAAAATTTGGTGACTATAAGCGATTCAAATTTCATTTTTGGTGTCGTTCAGTTGCGCATGTTCTATGAACATTTTGTTTTACAACTTGGCTATACTTGTTTCAGTGTCTTGAGAAAACATTCGTTTGCTACTCATGCACGAATGTCGCGTAAAGGGAAATGCTAGTGAAGCTGCGCGTTGGCTTAATGGAGCTTGAAAGGATGATACGGTCTAGAAAGGCGGCTAGGAAGGTGGTTCGCGTTGGGCTCGGGTCTTGCACAGGTAGTTGATCGTCACAAGTTCCGTTGATCTTGTGCTCCGCTTCACAAGCATTTGCCTCTGCGCGCCATTCGTACATGAGCAGGAAGCAGATTGTTACCACGACAGGTCCATCTTGAAGAAAATATAGGCAAGATTAATACCAAAATGTTCGCAAGAAAATGTTCATTCAAAATTTAGTATTTCGCTCTGGTGCAAAAACTCATGGAACGGCCTATACATTTGGCTACTGTAAAGGTCTTTTTGATGTGCTGTAGCTGCCAAAAAATCGTTGCGTTTCAGCTTCGATGCGCATCATCCCCCTGTAACTTCTGTGAATGCTTTTTCAATCGAACTTTTAATAGTCGGTCGTTAGCCTCTGAAATGGCTATTTCAGTGCTGTACCTCATTTGGAAATGCCTTCTTATTGCGCTGTAGCACCGAAAAGACGATCGCGTTTCGCACTTGGAGTAATCAGCTCGATGTTTTAACTTCGTAATGCGTTTGTTTCACCCATCGTCATGTTGATCATCGAGCGACTCACGCAGGTACCAGAAGAACTTCCATTATATCCTATCGCATGCTAGAATGGCCTAATAGGTCCTTCTCTAGGAATTTGTTTAGCATAATGTTCTTCTTCTAGGCTTTTCGATAAGAAATCGGACCATTTGGTAGGTGATACTCCTGTGGGCGCTTGATATTCCAAAAAATCCAGTCTGTAGCGGATCTAATTCATTGGTTAGCGTTAAAGCGCATCACGTCTCTAGTTGTATTCTTGTCATTCGAGCGTTGACATAGACCAGGACTTCGTATCCTTTCTCTAATTTGCGATATACGGAATTCTCCTAGCATCGGCCTTCCGAATGAGTGATCAGTAACGTCGAGCAATTCTTCATCCTGCATACGTAGGTGCCAGCTTTTGATGCATGTGATAAGGCAAGATCAATAATTTAGATGAGGAAGTTGGTTCGGATCGAATGCTTTTTGTTCTCTCCACCATGATTTCGATGCTCTAAAACGTTCCGTAAACCATTTGCCTAGTCCTGCTCAACTTCAGAGTTAGTTTGGCCAAAATACCTACTGATTGACTGACCTAGTTCGACATAACTTTAGCATCCAGAAAATCAGTTCTGTCGAGCGTATTGTTGCATTCCAATCTGCACTTCACAAATTGGTTTTTTGAGATTAAATCGGAGACCATTCCTTTCCCAAGCGTTATCGAAATCGGTCAGCATTTATCCGCCATACCATGCTCACTGGTATAAGAATGATGACATCAGCTAAGCGAACATGGCGTGTCGGCCATTGATTTTCACTCTTTTACTGTCCCATTCCAGAGTTCACATGGTGATCTCGAGCGTGGCAATAGATAATTTTGACAAGTTCTGAATGCTCCATTTGTGCCTCGAAGTGCGACAGTTGTGGCCATGTAAGTGACGATTTTTCGGCGGGCTTAATGCCCTTTCCTCTTTTTCAACCACAGCTACTGCAGCTCTCCTCTTTCCAATGTTTTCTCTCATAGCTTCTTTACGGCGTTTTGCCAGTTGAGATGTGAGTTTTTGGTCGCATACGGCTCTTGCGACACGTTGCCATAGCATCGCAAGTGTTACTGGAAACAAACGTCATTCGTGGCTTTTGGACTCTAGGCTTTGCAATCATAGCGCTAAATGTCGAATAAATCGGTAGTAGTCATTATTTTTGTTGTTAATGACAACATTTTCTAAAGAGATGAATCATGGTTTTGGTGAGTCTCAGTGCTGCTAGTTTTGCGATCCAGCTGTTTGAGCTAAGCGGTTTTTTCTCCTTCTTGCGAATAATGAAATATTGAGTGAAAGAGACACAGGTCTGTCTCGCTTAAAACTTTGGAACAACAACTATATCGGTTACGCACAATCTTCGATTTACTAACACTGTAATGGGTTTCGTTATAGTGTCTCTATTTCCATCTTAGTCCGTGGTTCCCAAAGTGATGTACTTCAGATGTTCTTTTAGGGCCAATTTTCGCGTTAGAATTTCTAATGGTGACTTGGAAGAATGTACGGTTCGCTGTGGAAAACTTCTCTACGTTCATATACAGCGCTTCGACTTCATCTTCTTCATGGCTTGATGTTCGTGTGTAATCAACGAAGATGGTTAAAGCCCAGCGATCCACATCTTTCCTGTTGCAGTTGTTCTGTCCGGATTGTGAGCTGTTAGGATGAGTCGCTAATTCTGGTCAAATCTGCTTTGCTGAGAACGCCAACGCTGCGGACACTTCTGCCATTGAGTGTGCCAATAAACTATTCTACTCCAGTGTCATAGGCAGAGTGGAAGGGGTCGTGTTCTTTCGTACCAGCCAAGTTCAGTCGTTTTGTCAAACGTCACTTTGTTCGTTTCGATTTCGATAGCCATATTTGACCCTGAGAATTTAGCAGCCTCTTCGTACTCGTTCTAACCCCGCTGCCGTATCGGAGGCTTTTTCAAGGTCATTTGAATGATGCCCTTTTTCTCTATCATTTTTAGCATTTGATACTCATTGTGTAGCTTCTTGAGCTTTGAATGTGTAACTTTGTTTCCCGGGTAAAATGCGGGTGTCACCCGGAGAGACAGAATAGCTTATTGAAAGCGGCACCTAACCGCCTCATATGTTGCTCCCAGCTACTTGATTGCAGACTTCTGGCCAATTTGAGTCGTAGAAGTGGTTTGTTGAGTCGCCATTTTAGAAAGAAGGAGTCATACCTTGAATTTGTGTGTGTTTCTGTTATAGATTTGGTCTCTTTTAGTTTGCGTTTAATACCCCTATTCATCACCTGGAAGCGCGCCACCACATACCCTCGCGACCTACCGGTTGAGATCCCTCAATGATTGAAATCCGATGTTTCTCTTTTTCTTTTTGCGTATTGGGGATTGCTAGCAATGTAAAGGCCATTATTTGAAATGAATGTGGTGCTTGTACCCAGGTGTTTGGAAATATTGAAAGGAAATGAAGAGCTGGTACTTGTAGAAATTAGAACGATCTCTTCCACAGTTGTAATACGTACATTTTAGAATTTTTTTGAAATGGAAAAAGACTATAAAAGTGATCAATGAAAATCGCGCAGTCTTCACACTGCACTTAATATCGCTGCTCACAGCGCGACAGGCGCGGATCTCATTTATTCAGCATTTTGTTTTTCAATTTGAAAAATCTTTTGGATTTCTTTTGATGATAGAATACTTTGCGGTTTTCTCTACTCAATCATATGCTTTTCGTGCGTATATCTTCAAAATGAAACGCAATTTCCTTTTCCTATTACAGCGCACTATTCGGTCTTCTTTTGAGTTTTGGCACTAGAGCACTAAGCACCAAATTTTATCAACCGGAGGTAATTAATATTTCGTAATAGGACTATCCAAAGTATGCACCATCAGCCTCGATAGCCAGTTTCGGATTCTCTTCAATTACTTCGATGACGGCATGTCAATCAAATTCAGGTGGATGTCCAAAGCGCAGCTAGTCCTTCAAGTTGGTGTTGCCTACACGAGACTCAGCACTAAACGCTGTTTGCCTTAACACAGATTCTTGAGCCTTTGCACAATTGAATTTCTATAAAGCAGTCTGTGGACAGCCTCCCAGTTTTTCCTCGTAAAGCAACAAATTTCGGTAAAGGCTTCGTTGAGCGGTCATGTTGCAGCAAGTGCGGACAAATTTTTTTTACCAAAGAAAGCTCAGAAAATTCTGCATAATCTGGTGTTGATTTGTTGCCTGAGAGTTTGCAGAAATATGTTCAGGCTGATGGAGCGTGCTTTGAATAGTGTTGTTGAGCATTTTAAGTACTTCTGGTGATGAATTTAGTTGGTGGCCAGTAGCTTAATAGTTGGAAGAATGTGTGGTGAGTAAAGGATGGCCTCGGTGGTGTAGCGGTAGCATGCGTCCTCAGCGAGTGAGACGTGGGTTAAACTCCCGCCTGAGGTTGAATATTTGCTCACCACTCAGTCATCTTACAAATAAATTTGGTGTCTGTTAGAACTTATGAGAAGACCAAGTATGAAGATCTTCCTAGAAGGCAGACCCGGTTTCGGAATAACCCTTTTTCACAAGTGCTAAAGGTTTGGTGAAGATCCTGGCGCAGACGTCAGCCGTGTAAGTAATGCGTACTGGAAGTCAAACCTCATCTTCGGTTGCCCATCTACAGCGCACTCAGAAAACTTTTCAGTGACAAGGAACAGTATTGAAATGCAGTGTTGTTGATTGATAAGCGAAGTTTTGAACGGTAGACACGATTAGAAACTGCAGCTCACCTCTTCCAGTTGGCGTTGGTTGCTGATAGATCGATGCGTTGTGTCACAAAAAGAGTGGTAGCAGAAGAGTAGGAATATTAGTGTAATGATTCACGCGCTCGCGGAAAGGGTGAAATGCGGGTTCGAATCTCCTTTGAGATTCAAAGTTTTACATTTCACTCAGTATTGTTGGATATATATTTGTAACATCCATTATACGACCTTTTCAAAGCGGTCAAGTGAAAGAGTATTGAAATCGACGATTGTTAGTCTGTCATTTGGCTATCAAAAGTCTGAGTGAAGGCGAACAAGGTTACGTCCCGGAAGTGTCAAGTGCCGGCACAATGTTATGAAAACGTTTTAGTCGACAGTTGTTAAGGTTTAGACGTACTTTGCTTTCCTTAAAACTAAGATGCTTACTATGTGTTGGCGTGTACGTTAACACATTGAGGACCGTGCGCTAACCCCACCCCGTCGCGCACGGACGGCGGCTTGGCGGCCAGCAGTCCGTCGTAACCTGTGCCGCGATCTGCCGTCCATCGAGAAGAAAATTGCTGGTTCGATCCCCTGGTACAACTCACTGGAGTTTTTCTTTTGGTGTTGCCCTTTTTTCCAGTGCAATATGCGTAAATCACTAACACGATATCACAAAATGTCTTATATGTAACATCATAAACAAGCATCACACCATAGATCTACGTTTCGTGTTAAAAAATAAAGAAATGTTAGGTTGCTGAGCGTTTTTTGTCATAATATTCACGTTGTGGAAGAACCTTCGATACTAGTCGCCACCAAAAAAAAAACACAGTGGAGCGTCTTGCCATGAGATTGAACTAGCAACCTTGTTCTCGGCGGACGGCAGCATTCGTCACTCTGTGGGGGCTGCTCGCCGCTGAGCCACTATCAAAGGGGGCGGAGTTAGTGAAGTGGGCCAGCGGTCCTAAATTTGTTAAAAGAGATTTATAAACCCAGTATGGGCTGTTAACTTCAAAGTTCAGCTTGAAACTCTACTTAGACAGCGACTATCATCGAATGAATTGTTTTTGTACTCCATTTTCACTACTTATAGGATTTTGTTTGTCTTTAAGGTATTGAGGCGCTTAGACGCAGGAGAACGACTAGAGAAACCACACTATTGCTCTCAACAGATGTATGATTTAATGCGATTGTGTTGGAATATCAACCCAGATCATCGTCCGAGACTTGGAATGCTTCGGAAATTATTAGTGGGAGTAAGTTGAATTCTCATTAAAGAGTTAAGCAGTTTGCTCAAAATTTGGTTATATTCATTTCACTAGTCTAACTTTTGTACTATGTTCTACTTTTTTGAGATTTTTGTACTTATCTCAGGTGTAAATGCTGGTTTTTCAATTCAAAGAAAATATTGTCCAATATTTATGAGCAGGTACACGTAGAGGCTGCGAAAATGACAACGAAAAATTCCTAGGCTGTATTCGTGATCGCCGAATGCCGCGATGCGTCTGATCCAGCTCTCGGCAATGACATGTTACAGATGAGCCCTAAAGATAGAATTATCATCATCGAGAACAAGTCCGTAACGACCTCAATGTTCTTCTCATCTTTTGAAGTTTTTATTGCTTCAAAGCAATAGACGCTTAATGGTTTGTGTATTCTAGTGGCTTGTTGTGGTTTGGTCAATCTTTATATATGCAAATACATATAGGTTTGGGTTATTCCCTAATTTCTTTCGCTGTGTTTTATTCCGTTATCTCTGTTTCAAATCAGGTTGTTGTCAAAAGGCTGTGGTATGTAAGAGAACGTTGTAGTAGCCTTAGAGAGACTCTTGGATACGGCCGCAGCTCCATAGCTCTCCGACTTAATGAATTAGGCTTCCACAAAGTGATATCCTGATGTGATCCCTTGATGGACATCTCATACTTTGACTGGCCACGACCACGCTGAAAGCGCATTCAGCACGGTCGTGGTCGGTCAAAGTCGTCTGCTGCTACTGCAAGGCACTTTTTCAAGTCGATCATCAGTGGAGTTGAGTCTGGGTTCAGTACGAGATCAGCACGCGTCGCACATACTGACTACCATGCGACGAAGACTGGTATAACCAAAGCGCAAGTTCCATGCTCGAAAGATTGTGATTTCTGTTTCGAGTTTGGCAGAACTTGATATCTTGGGAGCTGCTCATCGACAAACAGACAATAAATGCCTACATCTACGGCGAACAACTCTGGGAGTTGGCCACATTGGTGCAAGAGAAGCGTTCGAAACGATTCAGTGTTGTCCCTCTCCAGAATAACGCTCGACCTCACATAGCAGAGTCGACTCGCCGCACTCCAAAGGAAGCTGAGCTGAACCACGCTAACAGTCCGCCGTATCACCCTGATATTGCTCCACTGGATCCCTATCTCTTCCTCTGAAACAGCATTTGCGCGAGAAAAATTTGACTACAAGCAGCTCAAAGGTGACCTCGTTGACCCCTTTGACCGCTAGCTCATTCTTTGTGGAAGGAAAACATCCAATCTTTGCCTAGCAAATGGCTGCTTATCGTAGATCATGGAGGTGACAATATTGTTGATTGTTTGATTTCTGCTAATAAGTTTTAATTAACGAAACGAAGTAGTCGAAATGCGAGAGAAGTTATGGGATAACGTAATATGTTGACGAATGAAACATCAGCGCTGTTATGAAAGTATTCCTGCTATTGTTGGCAGGTGATATACATTTGTCATACCAAGCAAGTCAAATTTTTAATTTCTTGAAATTTTACCTCTATAGGGGGAAATGTCGAAGGCAATATATGTGCCTTTCTTCCAGAATTCATAAGTGCAAATGACTGCATTAGGGACACTACTGTCAATGTATTATTATCACCTACGCTTTCTTCAATATTATTGAACATATGATAGCTATTTCAGCTGAAGAAAGCTATACTTCTATATCAGATATATCAAGTTTTTTTCTGCTTTCCTAGCTTCTTAGCTTCCCTATTTTGTGGCTGAAATATTGTGGCTGTTTTGTCTTGTGTTGGTTAGCTAGAGTTAGTTACACCGTGCATGGGGACTTTTCATAGTCACACGATTTGAAGTGGTTCATTGTCGACTTGTAATTACGTTTCATATATTCGTACTTATAAAGATATATATCAAGTTATTCCTGTGTGAACGGCGCTCTTCATAAGAGCCAGCGGGGAATCTTGATGTGTGAAATAACGACTGTAAATAGGATGTAATTCTACACATTAGTAGTAGACTTTGACATTCTGTAATTTCTGTAAAGAAGTGTCAGCTGAGTTATTTTTTAAAATTCGGAGATTGTTTCGATGAATGGAAAGTTATGCTTGTTAAAGCTAAACTTTTTCCTCTACGGTTCGCGAAGCGTATCGGATAAATGGTTAGTCTTTGCTTTGGAAAAGATAAGCCAACCTGTCCACTCCAACGTACTTAATATCCGCAAAAGCAGTTGCAGTGTTTTGTGGAAAACGCTTGTAATCAGCGGTAATGGTTACTATTAGAAAAGTAACCTGAACTTCTGAGATCATTCTTTCTCTGGATAAACTTTATCAATCTCACTCACAAAAGCTCTATAACTCCTTGAAAAGCTTGCACAGCATGATCTCGAAAAAGTCCCCTTATCTACAACAATGGCTATTCTCGTTTGAAACGTGACTTGAACTTTTGCATACACTTTCACTTTACACGTGCTTCGTCAGTCTCACTCACAGAAGCTATGAAATTTCTCTAAGGCCTACATGGGATGGTATACTGAGAATTCTTCATGTCAACAACACTGGCTTTTTTGGTTTGAACTTTACTTGAACTTGTGCAAACATTTTCACGTTGAACAAACTTCGTCAGTCACACTAACACAAGCTTTAGAAGTCCTTCGATAGTCTACACGGTGTTATGCTATAGAAAACCCTACTTATCATCGATAACGACTACTTATGTCATACTGTAAGGTGAGATTGTAGAAGAAGTGTTGAAAATGCGCAAAACCGGGATTTTACTGTGGCGTATAAGTTCTCAGTGTTGATCAGTTCAGTGGTTAAGGGATCGTTTATTTTGGAATAGTCTTTTACATCCTCGCTTTTTTTCGTGTGCTGCTTCAGAGTGTTGTCACTTTTCTCTTAGGGTCGTTTATCCATGCAGCTCATGGTGATGTTTTCGGCGGAGAATCATGGGATACGCCAGAGAAAATCGATGAAATATACTTGAGGAACCCTGTAGTTGGAGACCCGTTAGATTTGTGAGTGTTTTGGGTCATTTCATCGCTTTATCTGTTGTGTATGTCACGATTTTTTCTCGCGTTTTCAATGAGTTTGCTGCTGCGTTCTCCATAGTAATGTCATCTTTAGACAGTCTAGTGAAGTTATAAACGAAATAGATATCCTTGTTTGTAGACTCATTTGCGTTTTATGATGGAAAAATTCGCTTTTTTATGTTTCCATACGACTGCTCCATTAGATGTTCATCTTCAAACTGAGCAAATGTTTGGCCATCGATAACTGCCCAGTCTGCTGATACATTAAGCGTGACTCGGTTCTTACTTTTGACTGTGTTGTTGTGGCAAGATAATCCGCTGTTTTGCCTAAGAATGTTTTCAAGGATATTGTTTCTTTGAAGTCTGCTATATGGTCCGATATGTACTCATATTTCGTCGGAACAGCCCTACTGTTATCGAATTGTCACGTGTTTCTATCCCTTCCAGCTTATTCGTATCGTT